GGGCCCGTGGGGGCACGGGGGGTGTGCGCTGCACCGGGGGGGGCCACGAGTGTCTGGGTTTCCAGGGTGGTCCCGGTGTTGCATGGGTCACACAGGATGGGGTCCTGGAGCACGTGTGTTGCTTGAAGAGGAGTCTGGGGGGTGTGTTTTGCCCAAGGAGGGATCCCAGAGCACACTTGTTGCATGAGGAGGGGTCTGGGTGCGGGTGTTTCACAAGGAGGGCTTTCCGTGTGCGTGTGTTGCACGAGGCAGGCTCTGGGGGTTCATGCAGTACGTGAGAAGGACTCTGGGCATGTGCCCATGCCAGCCAGCCAGGTGGGGACTGTGCCCCCCATCCCCCAGGGTTGGGGGACTGCCCCTGCCCTGGCCTGATCCCATCCCATGTCCCCGTGTCCCCACAGGGAACAAGGGCGCTGTGGGCGTCTCCTTCATGTTCAATGGCACCTCCTTTGGCTTTGTCAACTGCCACCTCACCTCCGGCAATGAGAAGACGGCACGGTGAGCACCCCCACTCCAGAATGGGCCGGGAGGGGCCCTGTCTCCTTGTCTGTGACACCCCTGTCCCCATGTCCCCTGCTTCAGGAGGAACCAGAACTACCTGGACATCCTGCGCCTACTCTCGCTGGGGGACAAGCAGCTGAGCTCCTTTGACATCTCCCTCCGCTTCACCCACCTCTTCTGGTTTGGGGACCTCAATTACCGCCTGGACATGGACATCCAGGTTGGGGGACGGGGATGGGGGGTGAGGGGTGTCAGGTACCCCCTGCCCAGCCCGGTGCCAGCCCCTCTGTTCCGCAGGAGATCCTCAACTACATCAGCCGCAAGGAGCTGGAGCCGCTGCTGAAGGTGGATCAGCTCAACCTGGAGAAGGAGAAGCACAAGGTGTTCCTGCGCTTTGGTGAGGACTGGGGGGGCTCTGGGAGAGTCTGGGGGGATAGCCCCTCCTGCTGGGACTGTCCTGATCCACCGCTGTCTGTGCAGGTGAGGAGGAGATCACCTTCCCCCCCACCTACCGCTACGAGCGGGGCTCCCGGGACACCTATGTCTGGCACAAGCAGAAACCCACAGGGGTAGGTGCTGGGGTAGTGGGGAGTCAGGGGAGGGGTAGACACCCCAACCTGAACCCTCATCCACTCCCCATCCCTGCCAGGTGCGTACCAACGTGCCATCCTGGTGCGACCGCATCCTCTGGAAATCCTACCCCGAGACTCACGTCAACTGCAATGCTTATGGTGAGCAGTGTGACCCCCCAACATCCCCCCTCCCATTCTGGGACGGTCCCTTCCATCCTGACCGTCCCCCCATCCCTGCTGGCTGCAGGATGCACGGATGACATCGTCACCAGTGACCACTCACCCGTCTTCGGCTCCTTCGAGGTGGGAGTGACATCCCAGTTCGTCTCCAAAAAAGGTGCCTGTGCCCAAGGGGACATCTCGCTGTCCCCCACCCCCCATGGGTTCCACCTCTCCCTCGAGATGGGGAAGTCCCAGGGGGGTTCCAACACCTCGCCTCTCCATGGAGGGCTCTCCAAGTCCTCGGAGCAGGCGTACATCGAGTTTGAGAGCATCGAGGCCATCGTGAAGACATCCAGTCGCACCAAGTTCTTCATCGAGTTCTATTCTACCTGCCTGGAAGGTGAGGACTGGGATCGCAATGTGGGGTCCCAGGGGGGCTGACAGGGGTGATGCCATGTCCCCCCCACACCACAGAGTTCAAGAAGAGCTTCGAGAATGACAGTCAGAGCAGCGACAACATCAACTTCCTCAAAGTGCAGTGGTCCTCCCGGCAGCTGCCGACGGTGAGGAGGGGCTGGGGGCTGACAGGGTGGGCGCCAGGGGGAGCTGCAGGCGGGGAGACCCCCACTCAGTGCCAGCACCTTGTCCCCTTGGCTGCAGCTGAAGCCCATCCTCTCTGAGATTGAGTACCTGCAGGACCAGCACCTCCTGCTCACTGTCAAATCCCTCGATGGCTATGAGTCCTACGGTGAGTGTCCACACCAGCACTGCACCTGCCCCCGGGGGTCCATGGGGTGCAGACCCCTGACCCCCCTGCTGTCACCCCCAGGGGAGTGTGTCATTGCCCTGAAGTCGATGATTGGCAGCACAGCACAGCAGTTCCTCACCTACCTGTCCCACCGTGGCGAGGAGACCGGCAACATCCGTGGCTCCATGAAGGTCCGGGTGCCCACTGAGCGCCTGGGCACCCGTGAGAGGCTCTATGGTGAGGACTCCCCTCCCCGGGGGAAACTGTGGGGACAGGACCCCACCACTGAGCCCCTGTTCCCCCACAGAGTGGATCAGCATTGATAAGGACGAGACGACAACCGGCAAAGGGAAGGTGCCTCTGAGTGCCAGGGCCACCCAGGACTATGCCAAGTACGGGGGACAGGGCTCGGTGGGTGGGGGGCACCCGTAACTCCCAGCTGGGGGGCCCTGGGGCTCAGGAGGCTGCAGGGATGGTGTGTGGGACGTGACTGGGGCAGCTGTGTGCCATGCAAGGCAGGGATGGGGCTCTGTTGTGCCTCCAAGAGTGACACTGGCATGTTTTGGTGGCTGACCCCTATGCTGAGGGGCTGAACCCCATCTTGGGTGGCTGAGCCCAGTGCTGGGCTGCTAAGACCCATCCCAGGGGGTCTGAACCTTGTTACCATCCTGGGGCTCTGAGCTCCACTGCAGGGGTTCGAGCCCCATGGGGCACCCAACACCTCCTGTTGCCCAGGTCTGTGGGGCGGAAGCCCACCAGTGCCGAGCCCCCCACTGCCAACCCAGCGAAGCTTCTGGAGGAGCCCGAGAAGGGCAGTACTG